ACTTTCCTCTTAGTTTTGCTATGAATCTGAAACTGCTCTAAGTATAAGTCTTAATAGAAAACCAACAAAAAGTTAAATAGTCTTTAAACCTGTTTCTTGGGGCTGCATCTGCATTGCTGGAAGCCAAGCGTAGCCTTACCTGCCAGGGGGCAACCTGATGCCCAAGGAGCCAGTCCCGGCCTCATCCTCTTTCCCCCTCAATTTGCACATGCCTCCCTCCAAGCACCCTCCAAGCACTGTCCCTTCTCCTGGACAGGAACCTCTCGCATTAAAGGAAATTCCCCCTGACTGTTCTCTGCCCCTTCCAGCCACCCTAATCCTTAATTCTCCTTCTTTTACCCACCCAGCCAAAGACCCCACACCCGTTCTCCCTGTTAGCTCCTGGCTCCCCCTTCAGCGTGGCCTCTGGGCACCCGCTCCTCGCCCAGGCTGCTTCCCCCACTGACTTCCTTCTCGCCAGATCCAGTGACCTGACATCAGCATGGGACTCAGAGTCAGAAGGCCTGCGTGGGCGCCCTGCCTGCCTGTCACTCACCAGCTGTGTGACAGTGAGCACACCGAAGCCCCTCTCTGGGCCCCGGGTCCATAGCCTTGGACATGGTTTACAATCTTCGCCTCCCGTGAATGCCCAGGAATTCTACAACCTCAGACTCAAACACGTTCAGAAGGTCCGCAACTGGGTGCTGCTCAGATGTGATAGGACACCTACCAGCTCTGGGAAAACCGGCAGGTCCCCCCACCTCTCCCTGCCCAGGCATCGGCCATTGGAACGATCAAAGACCGAGGTTGCTGGGGGCACCTGCAGACGGTGGGAGGGAGGACAGGGTGAGGGTGTCAGGTCTCAGCTGAGCCCCAGGTCTGCCCCTTGCTCGCCTGTGGACTCGGGCCACTGCTGCAGCCTCGCAGCCTCATCAGTAAAAGGGGTTTATTTATGAATCCAAATTTGTAAAGTTACCTGGGATCATGAGTCCTGATTTTTATTTTTTTTAAAGATTTTATTTATTTATTTTTAGAGAGAGGGAAACATCGATGTGTGGTTGCCTCTCATGAGTGGCCTGCAACCCAGGCAGGTGCCCCAGCTGGGAATCAAACCAGCAACCCTTTGATTCGCAGGCCAGTGCTCAATCCACTGAGCCACACCAGCCAGGGCATGAGTCCTGAGTTTTAAAGGTGAGAGCACTAGCGTAACAGAATTATCACAATGAACTTTTTTTCTGCGTACCTCGTACGTGCTAAAAACGTGCAACGTATAATCTTGTTTTATCCCCCCCACAACCCTCCTCATTTTACAGATGAGGAAACGGAGACATAGGGAGGCAAAGTGACTTGTTGAAGGTCACATGGTCAGAAGGAATAGGAGCTGGAATTTGAACCACCCAGGAGGTCTGGTTTTAAAGTCTGTGCCCTATGGCTTCCTGTTGAAGGACCTCAGTACAAATAAGTGGGAGGTATGACAGTATTATTATCAGGGCCTCTAAGAGTCAGCCTGGGAGTTGCCACCACCCTGGGGCTAGGGATGGCAGGTGTGTTTGTGGGTGGGGGTGGGTGCGTGAGTGATGCTCTCCCCTGGGGAGACACCTTGCAATATACACACCTTTCTGTTGCATCCTAGACACCAGTGTCTTCCCAATATCCTGCCAGAGCTCTCAGGCCTGGCTGCCCCTCCCCTCTCGGGCAGGTTTGGGAGAAACAAGCTTGGAGTTCCCCCGTCCTTTAGGGAGAGAGATTCCTCATCTCGTGAGGCTGACCCCCGTCTGGGGGCCTGGAGTTACTAATAGCAGCCTGCAGGGCTGTGTCATCCAGCGGGTGACTCAGGGCTCCAGGCTCGGCCCCCTCCCCATCCTGATGGGGCCTCCACCCGGGTGAGGGGCTTAGAGCTCAAGCTATAATGCTGGTCAGGCTGAGAGGGTGCCCACCTGGGGGTATACCCTGCTTCCTGCTTCCTCTCCCAGGGCCTTGGCTAAACTGCGTTGTGGTGTCGGAAGGAGGGGCTGGGGAAGTGGGGAAGGGGATGTGGTAACCAGAACCACTTCCTGCCATTGCCGTGTTGAAAGCCAAGTTCTCCCCAAGTTCCCCTTGGTGGGGGTTGGGGACCCGGGGGGGTGAAGGAAGAAGTTGGGAGGGAGTGAGGGAAGGAGGCTTCTTGCTTGGACTGACTCCAGAAATCAAGTCCCGAGGTTCCTGGTGGCATGTTTCTGCCCTGTGCCCAAATTGGTGAAAACAGCCAGCTGGTCCACAGGCATTTATGTACAATTAGAGTAGCCCCAGCACTACCGTGCGTCAGGCACTTTGTATCTGTTCATTCGCTTGACCTGTATAACCCCCCCGAGGTAAGCACTAGTGTTACCCTGGTCTCACAGATGGAGACACTGAGGCGCTGACCGGTTATGCCGACTACGGGATCACACAGCAGGTCCCCGCCAGAGCTGAGACTGGGACTCAAGCTGCTTGGCTCTAGAGCACGGACTCTCAGCTGCTGTTCCCGACGGTGGCCCCTCCCCGCCACCATCCCCCACACTCAGTCCCCCCGCTTCTTGCTTTGCGACCTGAGAGAGGCACAGTCTCTCCTGTAGGCCTGCCTCAGTTTCCTCCTTTGCATGATGGGGGCATTTGGAGTAGACAAGTACGCCTCCCTCTTGTGACATTTGTCCCTCTGGCAGTGAATTACTCCTTCAGTTTCTCCCCTCCTGGAATCTCGGCTCCGTGAGCTCCAGGCAAGAGCGGTCTCCGTGGACTGCTGCATTCCCAGGTCTTAGCACAGTGCCCGGCCCGGAAAACCTCAGCCAGTGTGTGTGGAGGGAGTGGTCTTTAAAGGCTGGAGGGTCCTCATCAATCATTTGAGTACATGTTGAAAGTTTGGGACCCTTTACATAGGAAAATCAACATACATCCTAGGGGGTGCCTTGGCCCCTCCCACCCACCCAGGGCACGTGTGGCAATGTTTGGCAACGTTTCTGGTTGTCACAACTGGCAGGGGGGAGTGCTGCTGGCATCTGGCGGGGGGAGACTGCGGACCTTACTAGATGTCCCCCAATAATCAGGTGGCCCCCACTGCAAAGGATGATCTGGCCCGAACGTTAATAGTGCTAAGTGCGAGAAATGTGGCATGTATACACAGACGTGGCCTATTTTGTACAGATGATGGCAAGCTGGAGGGGCTCATGAATTCTTCTAAAGCCCACGTCTGCTTGCAGATGGAGGCCCCCTGGATGAAAGGGCCTCCTTGTTTCCATCTCTCAGGTCATTGGCCGTGGCCCGCACGCTCAAGCCTGGAATATAGTCTCCCTGGGTCCCTGGTTCTCAAGGCTTAAGCCCCCTCTCTGATTTTCAGTGGGTGAAGGGGATTAGGGAAAAAGGTTCCAGGTTTTAAGCCCCCCAACACCCCCACTCCCCTCTGAGATAACCCAGAGTTACCTCCGTTCCCTGGAAATGGCCATAAACACAAAAAGCTTCAGCACTAGGGGGCCTAGGTTTGAATCCTGGTTTTGCGTATGAACTCACTGGGTGATTGAGGCAAGTTCCTTAACTGCTCTGAACCTCAGTTTCCTCCCCTGGAAGTGAGAGGGGTACTCATTAAACCTACCTCCCAGATGGGGGTGAAGACAGGATCAGATGCTGGTGGAAAGCTTATCGCAGTACGCCACAGTAAATCCCAAAAAGTGCGTTATTGTTATGGCTCCGAGGCGAAGTGACTTGCCCAAGGTCACATGGCTGGGGAATGGCAGAGCTGGGGCTGAAAACCAGGACTGTGTGACTCACTAGTTAGTGAACTCTAAAGTTCCCAATTTCCTATACGAAAAGCTAATTGTCTCCATCTCACAGATTCATTTATTAGGTAAACTTATAAAGTACCTGGCACGGCATACGACCTTTAGACACGGCTTATTGAATTTTTCAGTTGTCTTTCCCAAATAATAATTCCAAGAGGGCAAAGGTGGATCCTGCCCCCCACTGGCTGGCCGGGAAGAAGGAAGGGAGGGAGGCTGCTGGTTTATTGGCATACGCGGTGCTCCTGGGAGCTGGCGGGGGTGGGGGGTGGGGGTGTGAAGCAGGGCTGGGGAACCGGAAGGGCTCCTGGAGATCATGTCCCCTCCCCAGCGTTTTACAGTTGAAGGGTCTAAAGCCCGGAGAGGGGAAGGCATTAACTCTAGGTCACACAGAGGTTTAGAGCCCACGACCCCCATCTCCTGGTTCCAAGTTGGAATCATGATCTCAGTCCAGGAAATTGAAAGCAATCACAGCTGGGTCTGTTGAGGGCTTGCAGCGTATACCCTATTGTGTTATCCATAACACGTATAAGCATGTTACGTGTTTGATCTCGTTTTATCCTCAAATCAATTTAGGGACAAAGGGCCCCTTTTTTACAGCCGAGGAGACAGACTCAGAGCGGTCAGGACATTGGCCCAAGGCACTGAAGGAGGAGAGTAAAGCCGCGTCTGCTGGCCTCCAGATGATACAAATAAACTCCCCCCCGCCCAACCCCGCGCTAGCCTGAAGGAGTCAGCCCCTGAAGACAGGGGTGGCCCCGGTGGAATTCCCCAATTCCTGTCTAGCAGAGCCCGCCCGTTTCAGGCCAGGTGGGGCCGGGAGAGGAAGCTGAGTCAAGGGTGGTGTCCAGGGAGGAGACACTTGGAGGGAGCGAGCTTGGGAGTGTGGGGAAGGGCCCACAGAGGGGTCTGACGGGGAAGGGGACCCCTAGGTTCAGAAAGAGGCCTCGGAGGATCTTGCATCTCCTTCCCCTTGGGCTGACCTCTCGGGGCCTTCGATGGAGGGTGCAGGGAGTCCTCTGGCCTCGTCTCCCTTCCTCCCTTTCATCAAGTTCTCACAAGCTGTGCATTTTGCAAAACCCAGCCTTCCCCTACAGGCCTGTGGTTTCCTGTGGGTCTCTGTGGGTCTGGGGTCCTGCCTGATTCAGCAATGGGGACTGCGGGCAGCAGGGAGGGAGGAGGTGGTGTAAGCCCTTTCTTTGCTTTCACACACACACACACACACACACACACACACACACACCCCATCCCCTGAGTCAGCCCCTGCCTCGCCTGTCCGGGAGGGGCGGGGTCACTGATCCAGTTACCAGCTCCTCTTTAAAGCCCCCACCAGGGCAGCTGCAGCCAGACACTGCTACCCTCACCATGCGCCCCTGGCTGCCCCCCGTCCTGGCGCTCCTGGTCCTGGGCTGCTGCTCTGCTGCCCCCCGGCCGCACCAGCCCACCGTTGTGGTCTTCCCAGGAGACCTGCGCACCAACCTCACTAACACGCAGCTGGCAGAGGTAAGCAATCGCCTCAGTCTAGACTGGAATCCTAGGGAGAGCATGGGGTTCAGGGGATGCTTTGGGCCACACTGGGGGTCAGGGGCATGTCTGGAGGACGGAGGTGTCTAGGGTCAGGCACTGGGAGGGAAGGGTGTCCTGTAGAGGCTCTGGGCAGCGACGGCTAGGAATGGGCTAATGAGGGTTCTCCAGGTGGGCACTGGGGAGTGGTGTAGGGGAGCACTGGAAGGTTCTGGAGTGGGCATGCGCTGGCCGTGGACAGGGACACACCCTAGGGGACCCTGAGGTAGGCATGGCCAGGAGTATGCAGGGCTGGGAAGGAAATAAGGATGTCCCCACGGTCGGGAGATGCTTGGGTGGGCGGAAGCCCTGATGTCCAGGTTACGGAGACCGGGCCCAGCGCCTTGTTTCTAGCCAGCCCTCTGGAGCTCCCGGAGGGCTGCAGTTCTGACCCAGTGGGGCGGAGAAAGGCAGTCAGCGCGCTGGGCCCTCTGTGCCCCTCGGTCCGCAGGAGTACCTGTTCCGCTATGGCTACACCCAAGTTGCCGATATGCACGACCGCAAGCAGTCCCTGAGTGAGGCGCTGCGGCGCCTCCAGAAGCGCCTGGCCCTGCCGGTGACCGGTGAGCTGGACAGCACCACCCTGGAGGCTCTGCGTGCCCCGCGCTGTGGCGTCCCAGACGTGAGCAGATTCCAGACCTTCGAGGGCGACCTCCAGTGGCACCACCGAAACATCACGTACTGGTGCGCGGCGGGGTCCCGCGGGGCCGGGCGGGCGGGGTGGGGTGGGGTGGGGAGACGGGCTCCGCGCGCTCAGGCGGCAGATGACCACCTCCGGTCCCAGACCCATGCCTGGACTCCACTAAACGGGCAGCCTGGGGCAGGTGGCTTCCCCTGTGGGGAAGCGCGCCTCGGATCTGAGTCCTGCCGGGGCCATTGTGAGTTGCCAAAGGGAAAATGCATCTGCCTGCGCTTTACTGACGGAAGCCGGGAGCTGAAGCCGCTGAGACAGGGGGCGTTGCGGCGGCCCCGGCTCCCGCCGCTCACTTCCGGCTGGACCCAGTCCGCCCGCCTTCCTCCCGCAGGATCGAAAACTACTCGGAAGACTTGCCACGCGACGTGATCGACGACGCCTTTGCCCGCGCCTTCGCGGTCTGGAGCGCCGTGACGCCGCTCACCTTCACCCGCGTGTACGGCCGGGAGGCGGACATCGTGATCCAGTTCGGTGTTAGGGGTGAGAAAGCGAGAAGGGGAAAGCCAAGCGGGTCCGGGCCGAGACCACAGAGGCAGGGCCACGGAGACCAGAGGGGGCGCCGGACCCGGCTTTCTCTTGCCTGCGCTCCCAGCCCTGGCCGCCGCCACTCACCCTGGTGGCGTCCGCTCGGGCGCGACTCCGCAGAGCGCGGGGACGCGAGGCCTGGGTAGCTGCTCTTTGGCGGGATTTCAGCCCCCGATCAGTCCAGTGCCCTTGGGCAGCCAACAGCCTGCCCCCGTGCACTCTGCCCCCGTGCACCTCGCTAGCTCTCTGTTCCCATCGCTTCTTCAGAGCACGGAGATGGGTATCCCTTCGACGGGAAGGACGGGCTCCTGGCGCACGCCTTCCCCCCTGGCCAGGGCATCCAGGGAGACGCCCACTTCGACGATGAAGAGCTGTGGTCCCTGGGCAAGGGCATCGGTGAGACCCTGCGCCGCCGCGGACCCCACTCCCCTTTCTTCCCACGCGCATCATCAGCCTCCCTGACCCTGGCCCCCCTCCTCCTCCTGCAGTGGTTCCGACCAGGTTTGGGAACGCCGATGGCGCCCCCTGCCACTTCCCCTTCACCTTCGATGGCCGCTCCTACTCCGCCTGCACCACGGACGGCCGCTCGGACGACCTGCCCTGGTGCAGCACCACCGCTGACTTTGACACTGACCGTCGGTTCGGCTTCTGCCCCAGCGAGAGTGAGTCCGGGATTTTGGAGAGGATGGTGGTTGGGGGACGGCGGCGGGGGCGGGGGCGCCCTATGCTCTCCAGGGCCAGAACTCTGGGCTTTCCTCCCAGCTCAGCCACTAGTGCTGTGCGGTCTGCAAGCCACTCTTTTGCTCTCTGAGCCGTTTCCTCACCTGTGGAATGAGGGCAGGAGGGGTGCAGTACATGGGTGGCCCGTGGGTTAATAAACTCGGGCAATTTGCGGGCCTCCCCAGAACTCTATACCCAGCACGGCAACTCGGACGGCAATCCCTGCGTGTTTCCCTTCACCTTCGAGGGCCGCTCCTACTCCGCCTGCACCACCGACGGTCGCTCGGACGGCTACCGCTGGTGCGCCACCACTGCCAACTACGACGAGGACAAGCTTTACGGCTTCTGCCCCACCCGAGGTACCTGTGCCCTGCTGGCCAGATTCAACACTGGTCTGCAAAACGTTTCTCCCCGACCCATCAGTTTGTCCCTCCACTTGCGATTGGTTCTGGGGACCACCCAGGCTCTGCCCACTCTCACCATAGCCCCTCCCCCTCTGACTTCCAATTGCTGCGGCCTCAGTTCACAGGGCTTGGCCTTTTAGCCCAGCCGGCTGCCTCTCCCTTGGTCTCCAGTGTCCACGCTTAACTTGGACTCAGCTGTGCTCTACATCGCCCCCTAGGCTTTAAAAATGGGACCAAGGTTTTCTAGCTCCTTGTTTGGCCCGCCCCTGGCTCCTTATTGGACCGACCCACCTGGCTCACCCAAGGCCCCCCCTCTCTTCAGTCGACTCCACTGTGTCCGGGGGCAACTCAGCGGGGGAGCTGTGCGTCTTCCCCTTCATCTTCCTGGGCAAGGAGTACTCAGCTTGTACCAGGGAGGGCCGCAGCGATGGGCACCTCTGGTGCGCCACCACCTCGAACTTCGACAGAGACAAGAAGTGGGGCTTCTGCCCGGACCAAGGTGGGCAGGGGTCGAAGGTTCTGGGGCTGGGTGTAGTGGGCGGCCAGGGCTGGGAGCACGACCCAGGGCTCACGTCTCCTCGGGCTCTCTCTTTCCTCCAGGATACAGCCTGTTCCTTGTGGCTGCACACGAGTTCGGCCACGCCCTGGGCCTAGATCACTCATCTGTGCCAGAGGCCCTCATGTACCCCATGTACAGCTACACGGAGAAGCCCCCGCTGCATGAGGACGACGTGAAGGGCATCCAGCATCTGTATGGTGAGGCTTCGTGGCAGGGATGGAGGGAGGAGCAGGAAGGGCGGAGAGCCTGGTGGGAGGAGTTGGGACCTCGGCGTCTGTCTGCCGAGGAGTCTGGGTCTAGTGGGTTGGACCTGCTGCGCTGCTGCGGGGTCAGCGCTTGGAGATGGCGGTGAAGAGCGCAGGCTCGGGATGAGACAGACGTGGGTTCAAAAGCCAGTGCAGCCACTTCCTGGGCTGGGTGGCCTGGGATACATTAGTTTGCTGGCAATTTCCTCATCTGTAAAGCCGGGCTAATGATAGTACCTGCCTCTCAGTGTTGTTAAGAGGTTTCAATGAGTTACAATAATGCCTGGAACGTAGTAAATGCCGTGTAACTGTTTGGTATTGTTGCTGTTGTTATCACTTACTATTAGTATTATTTCCTCATTTTAAAAAATGGGGGATTTTAAAGAATCTACTTCATAGGGTTTGTTTTTTTTTTAAAGATCACACAAGCTAAATGGAGTTTATAAAGCCTCTAGCAGTAGATTTGCCACTCCGTTTGAGCGCCCCAAACCACGTCTCTATCTGCGGGGTCGGGGGTGGGGGTGGCCCTGCCTGTCTCATGTTTATAGGGCCCGGGCCTGACCCAGGGATCCGATAAGTATGGTTTGAATGCAAGGCGAGTGTAGGAAATGATGAGGCCTTCCTGTGCTTGAGGGGGTGGGTGGGTAGGCAGGCTCCAGCGTCTAAAGTGAGGAGAGTGGGTGCCAGGAGGGATTCCTGATGGGCTGTGAGGAGTAGCCCGTCCATGGGCACCCAGGTATGCAGGAATAGGGGTGTCTCACTCGATGTCTCCTCTTAGGTCCTCCCCCTCAACCTGAACCACAGCCTCCAACCACCACACCTGCAACCCAGCCCACCGCGCCCCCCACGGTCTGCGTCACCAGTCCTCCCACTGCCCGCCCCTCAGAGATCCCCACTGCTGGCCCCACCGGCCCCCCTACCGCTGGCCCCACAGATGCCCCCACTGCGGGCCCCACGGGTCCCCCCACTGCTGGCCCTTCAGCAGCCCCTACCGCGTCTTTGGGTCCAGCGGAGGATGTTTGCAATGTGGACATCTTCGATGCCATCGCAGAGATCGGGAACTACCTGCATTTATTCAAGGATGGGTGGGTGAGGGGCAGAGATGAGCGGTGAGGGAGGGCGTTTGGAGGGGAGACCACCCTGTCCTTCCCCTCCCACTGGCCTTTGTCTCAAGGCTCAGTGCCCTGCTGTTTCCTTTTTCACGTTCTCAGAAAGTACTGGCGGTTCTCTGACGCCCAGGGGCGCCGGGTGCAGGGCCCCTTCCTGATCCGGGACACGTGGCCCGCGCTGCCCTCCAAGCTGGATTCCGCCTTTGAGGAGCCAGCCACCAAGAAGATTTTCTTTTTCGCTGGTTAGTTTCCTCCTTTTTCCCTTCCCTCCCCACCATCCTCACCAATCTGGGAAGACCAAGAGACCAAGGATAATCCAGAAAACGTTCGGGTGCGCATTTCAAAAACGTGTCCCCTCCTGGCAGATTTCGTTTAGCAAGTTTAGGGGGTGCTGCATTTCAGCTCCCCTTGCACAATCCTCCCGAGCGCCTCTGCTCGTGGGCACAAAGGCTGCGGGCCCGCCCGGTTCCGAAAGGTCTCCCTGGATTTTCCCTTTTGACAGTTGGGGAGACTGTGTGCCTTCTCCCTGCCCCCTGGCCGATGCGCCCCTTCTCCCCTGCAGGGCGCCAAGTGTGGGTCTACACGGGCACGTCGGTGCTAGGCCCGAGGCGTCTGGACAAGCTGGGCTTGGGCCCGGAGGTGGCCCAAGTCACTGGGGCCCTCCCGCGTGGTGTGGGTAAGGTGCTGCTGTTCAGCGGAGAGAAGTTCTGGAGGTGAGAGCCATGGGGACCGCCGGCAGGGGGAGCCCCGGCGCTATACGCCTGTCCGCCGGCTCAGCACCTGTCTCCTCGCCGCCTTCCCGCAGGTTCGACTCGAAGACGCAGAAGGTGGATCCCAAGAGCGCCACCTATGTGGACCAGATGTTCTCCGGGGTGCCCTTAAACACACACGACATCTTCCAGTACCGAGGTGATGGCCGCAGACGGGGCCGGGGCGGTGGGGGGTGGGGGTGTGGGTTCCTTCTCCTAGACGCCCCTCCCTATGCTAGGCTCCACGGCCTTAGAGATTGGTCCAATTCCAAGCGAGAAAGGAAAAGGCCCCTGCGACTGAGGCATATATCCCGGCACAGTTACAGAGGCAGGGACCTTCCCCAGATCATCCAGGAGACACAGGGAAACAGCCAGAATTAACACCCACATCTCCTGCCTCCCCGGCTGAAAGTTCTTTCCCTTGCAATACAGGACATATGGTTTGCAGGAAGCCTCGTCGCTTTATTAGACAATATTTGCCAGGCCCTGGGCTGCCACTGGGGATATAGTGATGAGTAAGGCGATTCGTAGCTGTGTGTCTTTGGGCAGCAAGTCGCCGCTACTCCTGGAGCCTCTCTTACCTGCCGGAAAATCGGGACAGCTGGAGTTGCCCTTTCTCTTTTTCACCACTCACATCCGGTTGATGAGTTCTGTTGATTCTACCTCCGAAATATTTACTCTCGTTATCTCCTGTGCAAACACCCTAGTCCAAGCCATCCTGGTTGTCCAACGTTGTTAATGTACTCTCTGGGGGTAGGGAGGGGTGAGGAGTGGAAGGCAATAGTCTCTGGAGTGACTCCAGACATATTCCAAGGCCAAAGAAGCTAGCAGGAGCTGACCCCTCCTCCCCTCCCACTACTCCCTCTGCTCGCTCGCTCCGCCCCCACTGGCCTTCTGGCTGCTCTTTGAACACACCAAGGTCAGTCCTTGCTTCGGGCCTGTGTGCCAGTTGTTCTCTCTGCCTGGAAGGTTTTTTTCCCAGATTGTCACCAGGCTGCCTCCCTCTCATTCTTCAGGTCTCAGCACTAAAGCCACCTTTTCAAAGAGGCCTTCTCTGACCTTCATTATCTATTCGCTTACTTGCTTTTGTTTCCCCTCCACTGTCAAAAGCAATCTCATTTATTTACACGGCTGCTTGCTAATCATCTGTCTTACCCACCAGAGTGTAAGCACCAAGAGAACTGAGATCACGCCTGCGGTTTTTCTCTGCCGCATCCCCAGTGCTTCTAACAGTGCTCGGCATGATAAATCTTTGTTGAATGAGTAAATGAATGAAGGAATGTTGAATAAATCATCCAGAGCACCTACTGTGTGCCAGGCTCTGTGCCAGTGCTTTGCACATTGGTGTCTATGCCCTCTAGCATCTCTGTGGGGGAGGTGAAAGTGTCCTATGAAAACCTTGGAAAGATCTAGAAAGGGCTTCTGTTTCTGTGTGTCTATGTGGGAGATTTGGAGTCACCCCTCTTGTACCTGCCTCTTCCCTGCAGAGAAAGCTTACTTCTGCCAGGAACGCTTCTACTGGCGTGTGAGTTTCCAGGGCGAGGACAACCAGGTGGACCAAGTGGGCTACGTGACCTTCGACATCCTGCAGTGTCCCGAGACCTGAGGCCCCCCCATCCCACCTCAGCACTGCAGTGTGGGTCCCCGTGGGGACTCTCCTGATGGGGAAGGAGCCAGTTTGCCGGATACAAACTGGTGGGTCTGGTTTGAAGAACAGAGGATGAGTGGGGGTGGGCTGGGCCCTCTCATCCCACCTTCCTTTTCTGTTGGAATATGTTCAATAAACTTGGATTCTCTAACCTTGAGATTTATGTATGTATGTATGTGTTTAACGAGTAGAGTGTTCACCATGGGCCAGGCAGAGTTCTAAGCACTTCATAAGTGTTAAAATATTTGATTTTTCCTATCGGGAAAGGATAATGTGATTACTCCTGTTTCGCAGCCAAGGCAGCGCCTAATTATTCATTAAACCATTGTTGAGCCCCTACATGTGCTGGGCACTGGGCACAGACATGAATTGGACTGTGTTTGTTTTGGATCTCCCTTAGTGCTCCTCAAACTTTAGGATGCAAGGAAGTACCCTTAGAACTTGCTCAAATGCAGACTCCAGGCTCTCCCCCAGAGAGTGTAACTTGGTTACAAGAGTGGTTCTGTGAATGGTAGGGGGTGGGGTCACACTTGGAGAGTGTACGGTGTGTGACCCTTTATCCTAAAGATGTGTGTGTGTGTGTGTGTGTGTGTGTGTGTGTGTGTGATATTCTGTGTGTTGTGCTTGAAGTCTGGGAATGTTCCCCAGTCAGGATGACATCTGACCTTGTGCTGAATTTGGAAGGATGAGCAAGAGTTTCTTCTTGTAGAAGTAGGACTTGTCTTCTAGGAGAGTTATTTACCAAGAACCTCAATGTACCTTCTCTCTAACCTTCACACACGCATCCAAAACAGCACATAGAAGGATGCTAATTGCAGCCTTGTTTGTACAGTGAGAGCCTGGAAACACCCCAAGTGCCCGGGATAAGGCAGTGGGAAGATACAATACAGACTGTGTGCACGATGATAGTGAAACTGACAGTTAGCAGTACACACGGTTAGGTATTCCATCACAGGGTCTAGAGACACAGGTATCAGTGTTAACTCAATATTTCAATTGCTTTTGTTGTCATGCAGCTTATAGTCAAAGATAAGGAAAATATGTTAGTTATGTCCTAGAGGCCTGCCTATAAAGTAAGTTCTGGGAAAAATGTTTAAAAGGACATTTTGCTTGAGATAATAGATGAATGTAGCTAGTTAAGCACGAAACAATAACAATTCACAATATGTTTAGTTTCTGCCTTTTGCTTGAAAGATAACATCGCTGATGCAGCATTATGAGATGTTTTGTAGAAGCTTGCTTCTGCAACCTGGTTATATCACCTGACACAGAGATGAAGGCACCAGACAAGATGATGTCAAAAAACTAAATTAATCAGAATAAGGAAAATCGCTGAGGCTTGCATGAGAACTAGCCAATCAGCTTGCCCCTTGACCTGTAACCCCTACCCCTCCATCTTTGCCTTTAAAAACCTCTGATCAAAAGCCATCAGGGAGTCTGGATTTTGAGTATTAGCTTGCTGTTCTGGCATGGTGCCCAGCCAATAAATGGCTTTAGTTTTTCCACTGCAAAACTCAGCGTTCAGTGTTTCGCTCTGCTGCACGTTTGGTGTGTGGACACTCTTCCTGTTGGCGACAATAGTAGCTGCCCCCAGGATAGCACTGACTGAGTGCCAGGCACTGTTCCATGTGCTTTCTCTGTGTCCACACAGCTCACCCTTCAATTAACCCTATGAGACAGGTACTAACTACCCTTATCTTACAGGTACTGTTAATATTGGCATCAGCCGCCCACCACCCCCATTTACAAATGAGGAAACTTAGGCGCAGCTCGCCTGAAGTCTCATAGCCGGTGAGAGGTGGTGGGGGTGGGATTGGAATGTGTGCTCCTGATGAAAATGCTGGGAGAAGAGAAAGGGCGGGCAGCGTTGGGGAGCTAGAGATGACTCAGAATTCCGGTGTGTGGATGGGTAGGGCGCAGAGAAGATTCTGGAATGACTGAGGTAGGAATGGTGGTCTGAACCAGATGAGAGAAGGGCTGAACGCCAGGCTGAGGAGTGCGCACTTGACCTCAAAGGATGACTTGAATGAAGGCTGGGGCAGGCGAGTGGAGGTAATGGGCTCCCACACTCCAGGTGGGAGTGTAAGGAGGGCTTCAGAGCACTGCCTCCCAGGCGTCCTCTGGGTGGACCCCTTCTCCCCTAACTCACCCATTTCTTGCTCAGGAATGACCTGCTTCCATTGGCATGCAAATATTCCTTATAACGGCTTGTTGAAAATTCCTCTGGGTCCCCGAGTCTCTAGATATAATGTTCCATTTCTCTGTTCCCCATCTGTGGTAGAATGTCCTCAAAGTAGGGACGTCTGCTCACCGTCTCCACTTCCTGCGTTCCCATTCAGTCAACTACTTCCCGCCCGGCTCCCAGCCCACTACATCGCTGAAGGCACTGTCTTCGAAGCCCCCTGCGATCTTCCCGCAGCCAGATGCTACGGGCAGCACAGTGCGCACTCCGCTGTGCGCACCCTGCGCCATCTCCCAGGTCCTTTGACACTGTTGACCATGCTCATCCTCCAACAGCGTTCTTACTTGGTCTCTGGGACACCTGCTAGTCCTGCTTTCCTCTCAGCTCCTGGGCTGGGTCTTCCTGTCTCCAACCTCAAGTGATAGTGTGCCGGTGGGCTCTGCCCTCGGACTTCTTCTCTGTGCACGCTCATTCCCTGTGACCTTGTCGGCTCCATGAGCTTTAAGTAGCATCTCCAGAGTTTTGTCCCCAGCCTTAGCCTCTCCTCCAAACTCCAGACTCGTATGTTCAGTGGCCAACTCCGCACAGTCCTTTTGTAGGCATCTCAGCCTAACAGGCCCACCTGCACTCTTGGGCTCCACCTTCCAAATAGGGCTCTCGTCAGTTATCACCACCATAGGAACAGACTACATCATCTGCCCTCAGGCATGCTTACAACCTGGTCGGCCCTAAGATGTAGGAATCGTCTTACGCTAGTACAGTTTCTCGACCTCCGCACTATTTCGGGCCAGATAGTTGAGGGGGACTGTAAAACGTTTGGTGTCCTCCTCTAGGAGGCAGCAGGATCCATGGACAGATGCCAGACCCTCTCCGGGCAAGTTCTCCTCCGGGTTCGATGAGCCTCAACGTGCGGACGGGTGGGCGGTGTGGAGAGAGTGCAGGGAGCTGATGGTAAACCTGTGGCTCATGGTCAGGCAGTCTTGGTACGAGACTAGATGGTGCAAGGTGTCTCTACTACTAGATGCCAGTACCACTCTCTCTCCCGTTGTGCCAACCAAAAATCTCCGGACATTGACAGTAAAGCGGGCACTAGGACCCTGTGCGGCGCCGCGTCTGGCGGGGGGCAGCGGGAGGGGGATGGGGGGGATCCGCTCTTTCTGCCTCCCGGAGCCAGGCTGCGGCCACTTGTGCGATCCCAGCCGTAACGCGGCCGCCCGGCCCCTTTCTTCACCATGAGCCGCAGGTTCACTGTCACCTCCCTGCCCCCCGCGGGGCCCGCCGGGGCCCCTGACCGACAGTGCCACAGACATTCAGCTGCTGATATCTGCCACCTCTCAGCAGAAGACGCCAAAGGTAGAGGCCGCAGGGGCGGGGCCTGCAGGAGTGGGCGGGGAAAGAGGGGCGGGGCCGCAGTGGGCAGGTCTTTTGTTGGAAGGGGCGGGGGCTCCAGTCCAAGGCCAGAGAGGGGAGGCAGGAGGGAAGAGGGATGGGAAATTGTGAAGGGCGGGGCCAGATTTGAGGTGGGTGGAGCCACGGGAAGAGATTGGGACCGAGGAGAAGAGGAGGATCTTGTGATGGATAGAGTCAAGGGGCGGGGCGGGGCTGCGGGGCACTAAAGGGGCGGGGTCATCTCGGGTTGGAGGCGGGACCAGAGGGGATAAGGTGGAACCAGGGAACGCTGTGTGATTTAGGGTTGAGTGCAGGAGCCAATGGGAGGAAGTAGGGCTTAGCTTGGTTTGTGGGCAGAAAAGGGCGGGACCAGAGGGAAAGGGGTTGGTCCAGGAGGCTAGGAGTAGAGTCAGGGTGGGTGTGGGGTTAAGGGCAGGAGAAAAAATGAGTCCGGGTGGTTGAGGCAGGTGCTGGGTCCTCACGTCATTGATGCCTGGCCGATCCTCTAATCTTTGGATTCCTGGAGGCATTGTGGGCAGCTCCAGATAGCCCAGGAAGGAGACGGAAGAAAGAGAAGTTATTTTAGACCCCAGGCATCTAGATCCAGGGAGGATCCCGTGGGGACCTCAGTCCCGACTCTCAGGGACCCACTTAGCTCCCTCGGCACCACTGCCAGAAGGGTTGGGTGGAACCAGCTCCAGAGGGACCGGGGGCTTCTTCGAGGGCCCAGTGCAGTGGTCTGATCATGGAAGTTACCGGTAGGGTGCAGGAGAGAGAGGAGGGGCAGGGTCCTCCAGCCTTCAGTGAGGAATATACATCCTGGATACACACACTCGGCAGGGGGCCCTTATAGGGGTCCTTTCCCTGGCTCTGTGCCCCTCAGGTCTGGAAGAGACGTGGCGATTCCGCCTCGAGTGGCCCAAGCGCCGGGAGGAGGAAGAGCCTCCCCTGGCCGCCAGGGGTCACTGCTGAGCCGCACGTGAGCTCACCCTGACTTCAGCAAAATTAAGCACCCCAAAGCCTAGAGGAGCCCTTCAGGGGTTTCTTTGGCCAAATCCTGTCATTGCATAGATGACCAAACCCAGGCCTAGATTTCCAACAAGGTTCCAGCCCGTGAACCGACCGCTTCTTGACGTGGCCACTGGGATTTCTTGGGCTCCTTCCACTCTGCATATCTTTCATGATCTGTCTGCCCTCTTTCTCATTTTCATGAATGTCTTTATCCTTACGTCTTGACCATTCCACCCCGAAAACTCCTGAATCTGGCCACACGTGTCTTTCCGTCAACACTAGCCTGGTCCAAACCTCCATTATCTGTCACATGGCCAGCCTCCTCATGGGTCTGCCTGACTCCGATCCTAGGCGAACCACTCCGAACACAAGCTCCCCATTGCTTTAGGATTAAGGCCAAAGTGTCATTCAAACGTTTTCCTCCTGGGCTCCTGGTGTACCTGGTATAGCAGGGAAACTCCTACTCACTCACTAAGTCATAGCTCACTTAACCCCTTCTGGAAAATGTGCTCACTTTCCTTCACTCCCAGGCCACGGCAAGTCACTCCTCTTCTGCCACCCACTGCATCGTTAGG